TTACTACGCAAATTAAAGTCCCATCGTATATTATACGATTACAAAAGAAGTAATCTGATTAAAATCAACATAGAGACAATAATAAGTTGAATCTATCTTTAAAAAATTAATTTTCCTAATTGGTATACTTAGAGCATACCAGATATACAATGGTAATTATTCATATGGGTAGAAAATGTACATTAAAGATACCTCTGGAACAGCAATTTCTACTGCTGAATTAATTACTAAATTAACTCCTGTCCAGAAAAGTCTTAAAATAGCATGCAGATATATTTCAGCACTAGTTTGTAGCTTTTTAAAAATAAGCACTTTACATAGCTGTAAAGTAGTTATTTAACAATACCTCACTGTGAGAAGGGTCACTATTTTAATTCCATTTTTAAAGATAAGAGCCCTACATCCAAGAGTTTTAAATATTCCCCACAGGTCACAAAGAGGATCTAGAAGCATCTAAACTAAGTAAGAATTTTGTGATACTCAGTCCCCAGGGCTTTTGCTTATTGAGTCTGGAATTGTCACATAATGAAGCAGCACTCTGGGGCTGCTGTCCTCGTGCTCTGAGAACTCAGGTTATTTAAGTCATTTAAAATGAGCTGGGGAATCTCTAAATAAGCCAGGAGCTTCTTTCACAAGGCAAATGAATCCTGTTTATGCATAAGTTATAAGGATTAGAATTACCTAGTTTTCTTCCACATTTTAAACTTATTTTTCTATTTTTTTTTTTTTGGTGTAAATTTCATCTGTGGCCATGTAGTTCTTTCAATTTAAAGAAATATTTTGAAAATACTCCATTATTTACTGTAAAACTAGTCCTAAAATATAAATGAAGTTTCCGTATGATGCTAAATTTCCAGTGCAGTTTTTAGAGCTGCATACCTCCCTTATCTTAAAGATTGGGGTAAAGGTAGCTTTTGTAAAATTTTGATAAATGCTTAAGGTATTGGGGCTGATACCAGTCCTAAAACTGGGAAGACTTTATTAACCTTTATTGAGAAAAATTGTTTAAGATGAGTAATGCCTATGGTGACAATTACAGAGTGTTTTCAATATTCTGTACTGCAGCCTTTCCCAAGACCTGGTTTCATGGGACATTAAAATGTGTTCTGGGTAAAAAGATTCTGGGTTTACTCCATTTGAGCAGCAGAAGGTTAAAGCAGTACATTTACTTATGGACTTCACAGAGTTTTGATCCTGCTAAGTTTCACTGCATTAGAGTTCCCTAGTACAGAATATGCAACATTCCCAAACTAGAGTCACTTCAAAGCCCCTTTCCTTTTTTTCTTATTTTTCTTATTTATTTATTTTTTTAAAGCTCCTTTCTTGGAAAATATTTCATTACCTGTGTTCTGCAGAAAGCACTTTGGGAAAAGCTGCATTACAGACATGCCTTGACTTGATGAATCATGTTTTACAAAAGGGTTCCCACTTCAGAGTCAAACAATCACCTCCCATAATGAGTTTTAAATGATTTTCAAAAACTTACTTTCAGTGAGTGAATTTTACTTTTTTCAGAAACATATGTAATGGTACAAACAGTAAACCTGAATTTACATTTTTCTTAAAATTAAAAGACCTATACGAGCTGAACCATGACTACCAAGATTACAAATGTCTTGCTCATGAATGCAGCCCACTGTTCCTTTGCCACCAACTTGGTGGTCCTGGACAGGCTCAGGCTGCTGCAGGCAGGGTTACTGCCATGGATCCAAGGAGAAGCCCACCCTCTGGCCTAGTCCCTTCTGTACTCCCCTTAACTGTGCACAGGGGGTCTTCTGCCTAGTCTAGACCTAGGCTAGTCACATTGTACAGCATTTCCTTTTTGTAATGATATCTATATTCTCTTTAACAGTCTTCTCTTTCCTTACACTTTTGCTCAGTTGTTTCGGGAAACTTCTTTTACTCTTTCTCTCTTTCTTCCTTCTGCCCCAGAAACCTAAATGAAGCCCTAAATCACATCTGAAAAGCATACAAGTTCCACTGTTTAAATGTATTAAGGAAATGGGAAGCCACACACTCTGGGTGGAATCAGCCAGCCGAGCCAGCACCATCAAGCAGGGAATCCTTTTTACATACTCAGCGACGCTCTGTGAAAAGTCAGGAAGTCTCTTATTTCTTCTTACTTAAACTAGTTTTTATTATTTAAATTATTTGTTATTACTGTTTTATACTTTTTTTTCATTATATATGTACATCTTCTTAGCGATGCTATAAAATAAATGGATTTTTATTGACTTTCCCAGGAAGCTGAAGACAGGTGGATCATTATATCCATAGGAAAATGGGAATCCCAACTGACCTGCAAATGAACCTCTGGAGTGTGATGCATTTATAAAGAGTGAGAACCCCAGGGATCGGCATGGATCCCTTTGCTTTATACTTTCTTATAATCCTTCTGAATAGGGACAATAAATTGCATCTTTCAGCTCATTACTCTTTTTCCTCAAAATCCTCCTCACTTCTCCACAAAAATTGGAGGGACTAACCATAGGTCAATTGGAAACCGTAGTCATTAAAGCATTATAAACTGTCCCCAACTGTAGGCTGCATTGGGACTGTATTTCATTAGTTGCTAGGAAATAATATAGAGACTTAATATGCAAACAGACACCAAATACTAAAAAGAAGATTTAGCATCATCACAGAAGATAGAAAAGGTTAATCGACATCAGAAGGGTCTCCTCACACAACTGCACACAGGCTCTAGATCTGTTTTCTTGTCAAAAAGCTTGGCCAATGGTGGCTGGGCCTCACCCAATTACAATTGGTCAACGATGTGGGAAAAACAGTTTGGCTTAGTGTCAGTTATCCTGTCATATGGGGAAAATAATTATATCAACAAAAATAAATAGTAGCAACAAGGATTCATTTCCAAGTCTTTAAAGCCTGCCACAGGCTTCAAGGGGTTACTTCCCATACCGCGGTGGGGGACAGCAGTAGCGAGATCACCAAGGAGAGAAGGGGACAGCTATCCCCCCATCACCAAGGGAAGGCAGAACAAAGGAGAGAGCAAACATACTAAGGGCTCCAAGTTTCACAGCTGGACTTTACAGGCAGTGCCCGACAACTACAAAAGCGTTTCTGTAAGTTGAACAGTGACGATTTAGTCACTATTTCAAAGTAACAGGATCTTGGGCAGATGCTGGATGACGGTGATTTGTGTCACCTAGAAAATGAGACTGGTGTGACTATAGTTGTAATTGACAACATTTGCTGTACATGATGCTGAAATACATACATGAGGCATATATTTAGGAATTACTGAGTTGAACTGAGACATAAAAGCCCAAAGAACCCTTTAATATGTAACAAAACATATTACTCAAAAAGAAAGAATGTTTATTAATCAGATATAATTTGACCTTTTAGCCATAGAGTATGATAAAATCTTACCTACTGAGAAACTAATCAGTTTCTTGAGCAATACCTTTTAAAACATATAAACTAAAAAAATAAAGTTAGGCCTCCTATACAATGTATAATTTCTTCATTATGATGGAATGCAACAAAATATCTTGCCCTTGGGTTGCTCAGTTTCAGCCAAAACAAATGCAAATGGCTTGTCAGATGACAGCTGTTTGATAAGGCTCTTCTACAAGACCTGCATGCTTTACTTTTTTCCGTGAAACTTGGGATGAAAGGCAGAAGGCAGGAAGAGAATTAATGTAGCATACAGTCTAAAGGCAATGCTACAACCGTGATTAAGTAGAAAAGTTAAAAGGCACAGATTTTCCACAGCTTCGCTGCGTGCAACCCATCCGTGTAACAAGTTGACAGGCCTAGCGCATCAGCTCCATCATCCCCTCCGACAGCTAAAACGCAGCATTGCATCCCTTTTCAGAGAAAATTTGCGTCTGCACCATGAAGCGTTGTACATTATTTCTTAGCACTGCAGGGGGCTCAAGTCCATATGGAACCTTCACAAATATTACCACAGATCAAACCAGCGGCGTTTGGAGGCAGATTTGACATACCTATTTAAATGAACAGCAGGGGTCCTCGGGCAGCCTCAGGCTGTGCGGGAGAGAACCTCCGCGGCAGCCTGAGCCTCAGCTCCATTACTCAGCAAAGACACACTCTACATTTATCATTCATTTCATTTCTGCCAGGGCAAGAAGCTCATTTGCCCAAGGTCAACAAAAAGCGAAAAGAAGGTTTTCTTTTTTTTCCTCAAGAAATAAATGTACCTGACAAGTGGGGATTTTGTCCTTTGGGTTTGTGGAACACAAATAAATACCAGATAATTCTAAAAAGCAGAGTAAATGTGTGCATTGATTTAAGCCTGTGGATGGGAGACACCCCATAAATATTTCTGAAACTTATTAAAAAAATATAATGAATAAAATAGAACTTGACATCATGTTCTAAAAATAAAAAAGATACTGGCATACAGCCTTTTTCAAAAATAGTAATTCTGGGGAACACTCCCAAATGTGCACACTATCAAACACTGATAGGTCTGAAAACAAAACTGTTCACAATACATTCAAATGCAGTTGGAAGTCAAAATGTAACAATCATTTCTTAGGCTGTTTTTGGGCCCAAATTCTAGAATCATACACCACGTTAACCTGTGAAAAGCAAAAATTGTATATAAATATCAAAAGCGAAGTAGAGAGAACTATTTGACTCTCTCAGGGTAAATGCCTCCACAGCCCCTGACAACACCATGCACTTGGCCTTGTTCCCTACCTTGGAAGCAGTTATAGTTACATGCACCATTATTGAGTTGAACATTTATCTCCTAACATGATTTTAATTTGTAGGTAAAAGCATTTTAAGGACAAACCATTCTGATATAAATTTCATAAAGTTTACCTTTAGGAAAAAAGTGAATTAATAAAATATAAAGCCTTTCATCAACATACTCTTTCCCCTAGAAGTCTCATTTTTGAGCATTATAAAATACGAGGTAAATTCTGAAACTGAGAAAAGTCTCCAGTATAATTAGTTTTGTAGCTTACAGTTCATATTATTTATCATAAATGTAACATACTTACATGCATTAATGAATAATATGATTGTTTGCCAGTATAGAAGAGAAAATGAAATGGACGGCCATCTTCTCCCCACTGGATTGCTAATAAAAAGCCAGATGAAAACAAATAAAAATACATACAGAGACAGACCAAATAGTTGTATTTAACTGCAGTTATGAGACACACTTATAATTCTGATTAACTTTTAAAATAACAAAAAAATCATTAATATTTAGGATTTAATATTTAGTTTAGCATATTCAATACACAAATATTTAAGATATTTAATATTTCATACCCATTAAAACAATGTTTATGTTTAATAAAATATTCCTAAATATTTCTCCATGAGCATTTTTGTAATTTATTTCATGGAAAAACTCATAAAATCGCCAAAATCATCTTGTTACAACAAAAAAATTAGGTTTAGCTATAAACACAATGTCCTATATTCTTAAAAAGGAAAACTGACAGAGTCAATAATGCAGTATATTCAGAGAATTCAAAACAGGCAAACGTAACAAAGAAAAGCACTACAGAACATGTTTTTCTATGCCACATTATTTGTTTCAACCCTGTGGTCATCTACCTCTGAGAGTTTAAAATGTCTGCAACAGAAGGGCCCTCAAAAAGGTGTTCCGTGTAATTCCTTTTCAAATACAGATGGCCATTCACATCTAACAACCACCAAATAAACTGAGAAATGGAGTCACTCTAGTAAATAAGCCAAATGCTAACTCCATATCCTTTGTCCATACTATTTCTATTGTTTCTCTGTTAACTATTTGTAGGAACTCTTGTACATTAAAGATTATTATACTCTTTGGTCCATTCCATAGTTGTAACTATTTTCTCCCAGTCTGTCACTTACCTTTCACTTTTGTTTATGACATCTTTCATACTCAAGAAGTTTAGAATATGTATATAGTCTAATCTGTCACTTTTCCTCTACAGCATGTTTCTCAACTGTTTTTTCATTATTGATCCCACTAAGAAAGCCTTTTTTAGGCATTTTTTCTCTAAATGCCACCTTCCCCATTAAATTTTAATACCACAGATATACTAATACAACGTATCTGCTGACGTATACTGTGGACCTGCGAAGGGCCACAGACCACTGTAACAACTAGGTTTCCTCACTCCCTCTGAACCAACCTCTATCCCTACTGAGAAAGCATGCTTTAAGGCTTTGGGCTCTCTATAACTATTTTCCTACATTTTCTTCTGGAATTTTTATAAGTTCATGTTTACGTATTTACTCTATCTGGAGTTTATGTTTGTGAGGCAGAAATCCAAGTATTATTTTGTCCAGCAAAGACTCTTTATCCTTCTACAGTTTTTTGAATAGTATACGCGTTTCTGTTGAAATACTACTTACATTGTTTGTGGGATATCTTTCTTTTCTAAGGATAATTAGCATTAGACAGGCCACTTTAAGTGAATAAGCTTAAAAATGAAGACCAAAATTTCATAATAAGTGGTGAAAAAAAAGTCTTGATTGGGCAGTTAGCTTGAAAGATAAAAACAGATTCTTATTTACCAATGGCTTATGGATGATTTAAATACTTTTCCAACATCATTTTCATAAACTTCATTTCACGGAGAGATGTTTGAGTTGGGTCTCATATCCTGGAACTGATTTCATTATGTATGTGTACACACACACACACACACACACACACACACAGGGTTTCATTGAATCTACAGTATCACAGATTTAAAGGTGCCCCATCATGTACTTTACATAACACACACACAAAAAAAGCTGTCAAACTATGGCAAATATTACAGTTTACAATAATTGTAAAGTGTGCCCTGCTGTCAAAGATGTTAAAATTTGAAAAAACATGTCCTAGAATTCACAAAATATGGCATAAGCATAAGCTGCCGCTGAATATACCCCTCTGTCCAATCGCCCGTCTACTCCGCGCCGCTACTGCCATTTAACCAGCAGAGCTTTTTGCCTCATTTTGATACCAGGTACGGTAAGCTCCCTTCATTATTCCTTTTAAAATTTCTTGTTGCTCCTTGCACAACTGAACTTGACAAGTTTCCCACAAAAGTTGTACAAAGACTTTAGCTGAAATAATATTAA